TTAAATACAACCCAGTGCTGGGTAAAATAGGGACAAACCCAGCAATTGGGTTGTTTTGACCCAGCGGTTGGGTTACTAACCTGAAGGTTGGGTTAAACATTTAACCCAACCGCTGGGTCAAAACAGCCCAATTGCTGGGTTTGTCCCTATTTTACCCAGCACTGGGTTCTATTTAACCCAGCATTTTTTAGAGTGTACTGACGTGGTCATACTGTTTAAACCTATAAGAGTATAAAAAAAAAAAAGTGAATAGGCTTATTGGAAAAATAAGCCTCTACCTAATTTTTGGGGAAAAACTCCAAAAACATATCTATACATAATAACTGCGGATTCCAGCTTAAATAAACAGTGGCAGGGGGCAGAAAATATTGATTAATAAAGACTTTAACCTGCTAACCTTAACAATATGACCTCAAAACACTTTCATCATGCACGATTTGTAAACCAATACATTTTGATGTCTGCATCATGTAGCCAGCTGCATATGCGGCTTTTCTGATGTAGTAAACTTGCTCAGTAGCTCACCTTGTACAGCAGTGCGATGTGCAGCGCTCTGGTGCGAATCCCATAAAACGCGAGTCACATTAGAAAAGCTCAGAGACTTGTAGAAGCAAGCTGAAATGGCATGTCTTCAGTAATTGTTTTATCTCATATTTGCATTTATTAACAAAATGATTCCTTATTTTCAAACACGATTGAATATTAGCCTTTTATATTAGCCGCTCACCGGTCCATACAACTAACGTAATAAAATGTTGAACTGAACATGCTTTTAGCGCCACTCACTGGACAGTTCACTTTGAAAGTGTCGCAAAACCGGCAAGAAGCAAAGTAACATCATTTTGTAGAAATGAACATAGACGTGAAAGTGCACTATTCAAACTTAAATTGTTATAATTCATAAACACTTTTGAATACAGACCTAAGGTTGGTCTCTTTTTAAAGAAGACAATCTGTAGATGAATTCAGTAGTGAAATAATTTCAAAAAATGAAAGCATAAAAAAGTTATAGAAATTTATGTTTTAATCCAAAATTGCTATAAAATTAAAGCCATATGTCTAAATAAGTTGTGTTCCAAATTTGAAGTTGATATTAAAAAATTGAGGCTCCTATGCAATTTTGTTTAGGCGTTATACCACAAACAGCCACTGGGTGCCATTCAAACTCCATTTAATTTTTTTGATGCATTTTTGTGTCACAAATGTATCAATTTCTCTCTCAATATTACTTCTATGTCAAAATATATAAACCACCAAATATGGAATCTCGAGACTCAGATCTTTCCAATGATATGTATTTTGTCAAGATTATGAAAAGTTTTGATTCTAAAAGACTAATACATTTGGAATATGACACCTCCCACTAAGGGGGAGGAGCCTGCTAAAAGATTGTAAAGTACAATTTCCATGGTAACGCAGTGTCCGATTTCAAAATGGTTTTCACAGGATGAATTTGGAGGTTTTAAGCTTTCAAATTATATTTTTTTTAAGCATTTCTGATGATTACTAAAACATGTGATAGGGAAAAAGGAAATGAAGAATAATTTTTTGTGACAAAGGTCAGAACTGTTATGATGTATATGTTTTGAGGTGCACTATTGTCATAAATTAATCTATTACTGTTCCTACATAATTTTTAACAACAAACAGTGGTAAAATATCTATTTATCTATTTAGGAGTCTTAGACCTTTCCAACGATATATAGTTTGTCATGATTAGATTAGGATTTAATTGTAATATATTGAAGTAAACTTAGGCGTCCCGTATACGGGACGGTGACAGTTAAGGGTTAAGTTTAAAAAATCTATATTCTAAGAAGTTTGATTGATGTTTTCAAATGGATTTTGCTTTTGTCAATGTGGTTTCGGTGACAATTTGAATGCAAAAACATTATTAATAAATGGATAAAATCATGTCCGCTAAATGTTAAGAAGTCTTTTGTAAAACAAATTACCATCTTTGTCTTTACATAACCAATGTGAACAAAACCACACATCAGGCCTGCTGTAAACAGGGCCTACAGCAAGTAGAAAATCAAAGGAAGAAAACATGTAGTACATGTACCAAAAAAGTAAATGAAAACAAATCTAAGGTATAGAAAAGAAAAGAAAGAATTGTGGTGATGTGGGGGGTTATCATCATTGTCCCCTATATGATCACAGCACCTTGGGGTCCCTCAGCACCTGTCCATTAGGAGCCGAGGTTAATGACAGGTTGGCTCTACGTAAGCAAGAGGGTGAAGGGGGTCTGAAGAAAATTAGAGGGCAGCTCATGTTAGAGAAGAGAGTTTTGTTGTTTGTTCCTCGGTGATCACCCCCCTCCCTCCACTCAGCAGCTCAGCTCCAGGTGTATTCTGAGTACGAGAAGGCCGTTCTGATCGGACAGAGGGGAAAGTTGTCTTCTGACACCTCATATAACTTAACAGGGCCTGGCTGAGTTATGGCCTTCGAGTTTTACTTTTATATCCCAATCAGCAAGCGTAGGGGAGTGGACGACACAAGAGTAATGTGGATAAAGTCTGTAAAACTGGGTGAAAAACACATGAGAGCTGAAGGAGACATGAACCCTGTCCGCTTTCTCATTAAATTAACTTCAAAGAGGGTTCACTGCCTAAAACGGTCAAGCCTTCACCTACTTCCCATGGAGGAATCCAAGAAATGAAGGAAATTAAGAAATTAGTACAAAAAAAAAAAAGCAGTACCCTTTTTACTGCTCTTACGACATGCATCAGAATGTCTGAAGGAGAGATGACAGAGGAAGACGCAGAGGAGGAGAGTGGCTCCTCTGATCTTTTAAGTGACGGGTTTACTGGAATCAGCGAGTGGGTCTAGGATAGCTCTTTATTTAATGAACACATGAAGAGTGCTCGGCTTCACTTTGATGTCCACTCCGCCGCCACACAGGAGAGACCGCCTCCCCAGCCTTCTTCCTGTGCCTGAGAAAACTAATGGCACTCATGCCCTGCCCCCTGCTGAAGACCACGACACTGAATGAGACTGAACTATGGGTTAAAAAAACAACCACTGACCATACACATGGGAGAAACTAGATACACAGGAGATTATTTGGAGTTATGAACAATACAAAACATAATAAATTCAGAGCTATTGTTTTAGACCTTGAGTATAATTATCAGACATCTTGGTCATCTACAGACTGTCAAATTTCAGCATCAGTATCAAAAACAATCTGGAATGAAAAGAATCAAACCTCTTTATAACAGCATGTAGATTTTCTAAATGCAAATACCTAAATTTGCTAAAAGCATCCCACAATGTAAGGCACTCAGCCAAACTGTCCATTTTCACTGTGACTAATAAACCGGATGTACGTGGAAACAAGATATTGTGGCCATGAATTAAGAATTTATTCCCATGACTTAATTGCTAGTTTTAGTTCAACCATGGCCAAAGTGTACCAGTTCCTTCACTCATTTTAGTTAGATTGTGGACAATTTATCTAAATATAAACGATGGAAAAAACATAAAACATGGCCAAAATTGAACTAAAACTATGGAACAAATTACTGACACAAGTTAATAAATTGTTTGAACGAATTCATAATTTGTGGTCACAATATTACATTTTTTTTTTCATGAAATGAAAATGCTGAGAGTTAATGATTTTGAGCTACTACAGACCTCTGAATTTTTTAGAATCTCCTTCTTGACTCATAACTTGAATTTAAAGTTGCAATAAAACAGAAGCAGCAATGGATATTTTCTTCTGTATTTCAACGAACATGCGAGTTAAACAGCGAGTTAAAAATAATCTGGATGGAGGCAGATTTGTATTTTGGGCTTGCTGTCGATTGTAGGGGTGGGATTTAAGCAGAATAAATGATTGGATAAGTGTCATATTACTGGACGATTATCACATTTCGATTGAAAATTATTAAGTCAAAGTAAAAAAAAAAAAAGAACAGCTAAATTGAATGAATTTTACAAAATATATAGGGTGAATTTTAATTTCATTCAGAAACATGCAAAAAAACAACAACAACCAAACACTACATAGCTATAAAATGTTTTAATTAAATGCATTTTGAATTAATCTAGCAAAGACAGAAAAGCAATCACCGCAATTAAAATAACGCAAGAAAATGCACATTTGAACCACGTTATTATCATTTTAACCGTGTTATTAGTAGTGAGGAGTTGCAGCATCTTTCTTTCTGTAATTATTCAGTCATACAAGGAATGTTCTAAACATCTGAAAGTTTGTACACAAACAGCACTGTCTCAAGAACAGTCTGCCGAGAAGTCGCCTGGTGGTGGCGTAAGCTCTGCGGTTTTGCCCGCTGTCTCTCTGTCTCGGTCTGGGGTAAAACACTCACCGATTCCTCTAAACGAATAATCACTCTCAGCTGTGTGTCGTCTGCAACACTGATCTACAGTCCCCACATCCCCCTAAACACAGACAGCTAGTCTGCCTACAGGTTGTAAATAAAGGAGGGGAAAAAATACTGTAAGGTTACTTTGTTGGAAACAGTGCGATATGATAATGTATTTGTATGGCCTCTGACTTATGTTTTATACGATACATACCCATTTCAAAAATCAAATATTTGCTCTAAATTAATAAAACCCTTTTTCCAAGCAGATGGGAAACCCCCCCCCAAAATTAGAAGAAAGCAAACCATATCTTTAGCAGTGTCTGGGAAAGAGAGCTTCATTTGTGCTATATCCCACTAACATTTGTTTGGGACCGTGACTAATCAGATTGCGGCATCATCACCTCCACTGAGCTGTGTGACCCCCTACACGGCTGCCAAAACCAGACACTGACACATTTAATCCAGTGAATTAAGTCGCCGATATTTTTCCCTCAAATCCCGAAGTCATCATTTTTTCTGCTTTAGTTTTTATGCAAGAATTCCATCTTTATTTTACACCTCATCTGACCTGGATGCATCCATAAAACATGTTGATAATCAAGCCCTATGGCGGTCGTGTAGTACGTACAGCACTTTAGTGGCCTCATTAAACACCAAACAAGATTCCTCCTAATAATTACCAGATCTGAGAGACTAAGCGTACATTACTCACAAATTAGAGAGTGGGAACGGGAGTGTCAAAGAGTTAACGTGGGAGTACAATCACATCAAGCTTGTGCAAATGTATGAATGTAAGAATTTTAAAGGCAGCAAGAACACGGGACCCATCTGAGAGCTCTAAATAAACCGAGAGCGTCTTCTTCATGTGAAGTGCACAGGATTGTGTTGTTTGATGACCATCACTCGATAAGGCCACTGCAGGGATGAGAATGAGAAAACAGGAAGAAATGGTGTGCCATCAGAACGTCTCTGCAGATCTTTTATCCCTAATTCTCCATCAACGGACAACTGGATCCTCTGGAATCAGTCACTTGGTGCTGGGATGATGCTGATGTGGAGAAAGTTGTCTGGGTGGCTCAAGTGTTCACTCAACCACTGGATGGGTGTTTCCAGCAGTGGTTCAATGCCGTGAATCATAACCTGGAATCTCTTTGGCTCGTCTGGAATGAGTGTGAAAGAGAGAAAAGGTCACAACTGAGCATTAAGGGAAGTACTATTCTAGTCATGTTAAAAAAAAAAAAAAGTTATATATTATGGTACATCTTAAGGCTTGTCACACAGTGGTGCTTTCTTGTAAATGGTCTAACACCCAACTGTTTCCCAAAAGTGCATAAACTTTGTCGTTCCAACCATGTTGGTTTAACAACAGAACTGTAAATGATGAAATGCAGGTGGTGAAGCAACTTCTCAATTAATCAGTTCGACAATCAATGTCAGATTATTGCTGTAAATAACAACATGGCATCTGAGAACTACTTTGATATTTTGTTTTTCATTGTTTTGTTTTTTTTATATTTACAGATATTTCATTCAATCGCAGGTTCCTTCTTATGTCATACTCCCAGGTTCCACCACCTTTTATTTTCTTGACAAACTAAAAGACACAGAATGAAATCTGCATGTACAGTATATGAAATGAAAGATATACTGTAATCTAGTTTGCTTATTTTGCTCAAGAGCATGATCTATTTAGATCAATTCTATTGATTGATCTATCATACTAACAACATGCTTCTAACCACAGATCAAAAGCTGCAGTTTGTTTGTTGGAACTATGGTTTCAGGAAAAATAGAATCTATGATGGTAATGACAAAACTTACAACTAAGGATGTAACGATGTTAACCGCGAGCCGGTTGAAAATCGATTCAAATATGGGACGATTCAAATCGGTTGAGATGCTAAACAAATCGCGATTCAATTAGGGGTAGGAGTTTATATGAATGTATGTCTGAGGGGAACTTACTGTCTTTAGAAAAGTTTAGATGGTATTTTTTATTTTCATCTTGCTTCTGTATAATGCATATAAAAAGATCGTAAGTGCAGCGGAAACCAAGGAAATGCTTTAAGCGCCACCTGCTGGCAGAGAGTGAATCTGCATCTCATTCAGCTCGTCTGCTGTTTCTGTTTCATGCAGATATTTTTTATGTATAGTTTCACAAAACTGTCAAACCATTCTGTTTTTGTTTCAAATTCCGAAATTATACAATGTAATTTAGATTAAAAACTGCTATGTTGCATGTATGCAGCATATTTGTTTGGATCATGATTAAAATGCAGTGGTTGCCTCTAATTTTAAATGGATTGAGCACAGACACAGCCTTAGTTTGTTTATATGAAGAGATTTATTTTATTTGTGTTATTTATTTATTTGATTTGGGGCTTGTTTTAAAATTTCAATTTAGTTTTATTTACATTTACATTATATTTAAAGTTTGTTATTTAGCAGACGCTTTTATCCAAAGCGACTTACAAATGAGGACAACAGAAGCAATCAAAACCAACAAAAGAGCAATAATATTCAAGTGCTATATTAGTATATTATTATAGTGTTATATTTCAATTTCACAAAGAAACATGCAGCATTTTGTCCAAGCAATAATACAAGGACACATTTAATTTATAATTTGTCTTAAATCTCATTTTGTAAAAAATAAAAAAAATTGTGAATCGAATCGTGAGTTGAGTGAATCGTTACATCCCTACTTACAAACATAGTTTGCTTTACAATGTTTTTAGAAATGCTCCCTGATTATGAGAAGGTTCAAATCCGAGAGCTTTCTGACCCTCCATAGACAGCAAAGCAACTACCATGTTCAAGACTCAGAAAGGTAGTAAGGACATCGATAAAACATTCCATGTGACATCAGTGGTTCAACCGTAATGTTATGAAGCTACGAAAATATTTTTGTGTGCAAAGAAAACAAAAATACTGACTTTATTGAACAATTTCTTCTCTTCCATGTCAGTCTTTTTTTCCCTACCTTTCTGGGACCTGAACGTGGTTGTTGCGTTGCTGTCTATGCAGGGTCAGAAAGCTCTAAGATTTCATCAAAAAACATCTTGCTTTGTATTCTGAAGATGAACAAAGGTCTTACGGGTTTAGAACGACATGAGGGTGAGTAATGAAAAAAATTTAATTTTTAGGTGAACTATCCCTTTAAAATGCAACACAGTCACCATAATTTGTAATAACCCCTAGAAAATGAACATAAAACATGTTGATGGGAGACTTGTGCCCAAGAAGTGGTCAAAGGCACGAAACACCCCTGGTATGTGTAACATCTGTTGGCACTAATTACATGATTGGATACTCCAGGAACATTACAAAGCCATGCAAGCATAATATATGTATATAAATATATGTTAAGAATTAAATTTGATTACTTGCACAGCAAGTGCAAGATGATCTTGGTTTTGAACTGGTACGTTAGGAATTCCTAGTTCCTAAAATATTAACAGTATTTGAAAGATATTCATTACCAGTCAAAAGTTTGGCCACACCTACTGAAACTTTATTTTTTTACAATTTTAGATAGTCATGAAATATGCCAATTTTAGATATTAAAATAAATCTTTCTTTAAAGTAGCCACCTTTTACATAGACTGCAGCTCTTCACACTCTGGGCATTTTATCAATCAAAGAGTTCCCATGTATTTTGAACACTTGACTGCTTTTTCTTCACAATCTACTCCAACCCTTCCATTTCATTTTTTAATCAGTTATTTCACAAGAAAAACATAATAATACAAATAAATAAACACACACACACACACACACACACACACACACACACACATAAAGGACCATACTAATTTAAGCACAAACCTTTAAGTCAAAATGTTTTTATTATTTCAGCCAAAAATAAAAAAAAATTGCGGAAAATGTACTCACCCCTCAGGCCATCTAAGATGTAGATGAGTTCGTTTCTACATCGGAACAGTGAATGGGTGCCATCAGAATTTCTAATCAGCTGATAAAAACACAATAATCCTCACAACTCCAGTCCATCAATTAATGTCTTGTGAAGCAAAAAGCTGTGTGTGTGTTTGTAAGAAACAAATCCAGCAAGATGTTTTTAACTTCAAACTGTTGCTTCTGGCTAATATACAAGTCCTCTATCCATAATACTGCTTTCTCCAGTGAGAAAGTTGTCTCATCTGAATCAGGAGAGAAATATGTAAAGATAAAGCACTGTTTACAATTGAAAACAGTCCAAAATGGCTCTAAACAAATATGTGGGTGGATTTATGAGAGGAAAAAAGGGAATGGGCATCTTCACTAGAGGAAGCATTATTATGGAATATGGTCAGGGTTATTTGTGGATTATTGTGATGTTTTATTAGCTGTTTGAACTCTCATTCTGACGGCACCCATTCACTACAGAGGATTCAATGGTGAGCAAGTGATGCAATGCTAAACTTCTCCAAAACTGTTAAGATGAAGAAACAAACTCATCTACATCTTGGATGGCTTGTGAGTGATCAAATGTTAAGCAAATTTTCATTATTTTGGGCGAACTATTCCTTTAAGACCACAAGAAACATAATTTCTGAACTTTCGACTGCTAATGTAATTTTAAGAAAAACTTCACATTCATAAATATATCCAAGCATTTATTTATTCATTTTACTTTTTTTTTTTTTTTTTTGACATTTTAAAATTGTTATTCCATGAAATATGGAAAATACATCACCAGATCTTGTGAGAGGTTCTATTGTTAGAGGAAACGCAGCATGATAATTAGTTCTATTCTCCACTACTTTATCATCTCCTGCACAGAACAAATTGACCAAGTTCACACTGCGTAGCTAGTTACATACGACTGGAAAATTGAAGGAAACGCTAGAGGCAGTAACATTACCCTGTTGACCCATGGAGGTTAAATGGCTAATGCAGTTGAAGGGAAGGAGTTTCAGTTTGACAGCAAGTGATGGTTCAGGCATCAGCATGTGCGCTGGATGACCTTCTCACACTACTGAACTGCATCATGACCTACCAGATCATTTGCATAAAAGCACATACAGAAAGCAGTTGCTGTTTGGCCTTTAAAAATTTTCAGATAAACAACACCGAATTTCACTAAATTAATTTCCCCATGAAGTATCCTAAAGTTTCACTGTAGGACACAAAAAGCACAAGTAAACACTCTCTCTCAAACTCACACAAAAGCAATTCATCATGTCTACTCAACTTACATTTATCATGAGTCTGATGAGCTGTAGCTCAGGGCTGGAGAGGTTGGGGACACAGATAACATGGGCGCAGGAAGGAACTTCTCATAATAATGCATTCTTTTGTTTATTAAATGAGTTGTCAAAAAGGCATGGCCTCAGCTTTCCCTCTGACCGCTGTCAGCTCAATTATCTTTAACTAAATTCATGCATCATTTGCGCTTTCATTAGGCATAGCTGTCAATAAGGTCAAAAATACAAGTATTTTTCTATTTCTGCACGAAACAAGTAAATCTCTCCAACCTCGCCTAAATTAAAACACTTAAACCTAACTGGATACCCTGTTTTTAGTGAATTATATATATATATATTAGGGCTGTCATCGTTGACGTGTTAACGCATGCAATTAATTTTACAATCCTTAACGTGTTAAAATAATTTAACGCAATTAACACAAAATTACTGAAACAATTTCTATTCTAACCCTTTAACCCCATTTTGCTTCTCTGCTTGCGATCAGATCATTTTAAGCCGCTAAACTCCGGGAAAGTTTTCATTCCAATGATCCAGTAAGCGAATGCATTCAAACAATCCGTCCAAAACAGCGCTAATATAAAGGAAACCAGGCTGATTACATCAGAGATTGCAGAGAGAACAGAGACTCGCATTGCGCTTTCAGTGAATTATTCATTCCAGTGTGTTTCGCTTTTAAACACGAGCTCTGTCATATTCTGTGATTGTCTCTGAAGAGCGCGAGCCCTCACACGTCACACGCGCTGTGTGAAGTACAGACTGAACGGATTGTCAACACATCCCACCACTGTATGGCCAGATGATTACTGCATAACTGACGTGCTGTGAGAATACCAAAAGATATTTAGCCTACTCCTCAATTAAAATGTTTTTAAAAATGGTCTTTTAAGGTCTACAATGAATTATATGCCTATAATTAAACACTGCAGTCATCGATAAAAATCAATGAAATA